AAAAAAAAAAAAAAAAAACTGCCTCTGAACACAAAGATACATGGTAAGGTGCTATCGGTCGTGGAAACATTTAGAAAACCCTAAGTGGCCAGTATCTGGAGCTAGTCCTTATAAGTGGCTGAGTCACAGTCAGAGCAATAAAATTCTGACCCCTGGGAGGCCCCCACAGTGACTCCACCCACCACGTAGGCCAGCATTTGATCAACGCTCATTACAGGCTAAGAACCTTCCAGACTTAAGTCTGTGCTGACCAGGTCTAAGGGACCCAGAGCTGTGCATGGTAATCCCATGCCCCAGAATATGTCTGTGCGACCCACAACTGGGCAGCCTTCACCTGCACAGAAATGGCATGATTCTCCTACATGTCTTGTGTGTAGAACAGAAACACACATCCTCCCTGTCCTGGCCACCGGTCGGCCCAGTAACTAGAGCACTGGTACTTGCAGCCCTACTTGCTAGCTTCTAGGAGACTGCGCCCTGCACCGCTGGCAGGGTGGGGCAAGGGAGCACTGTGTGGGGGCTGCTGCCCTACATCCAGCCTGGCCCTTCCTCCATCTGGTTGTTTCTGGCCACATTCTTTGTGGGAAACTAGTAAATGCAGTCTGGGAAACCAGTAAATGTAGTAAACTCTACCCAGGAAGGTATGAGACATTCTGGAATAATCTGACAGAGGAAGAACTGTGGGAACCCCAATTTATAGCCAGTCAGGGGCTTGTACTGGCATGAAGGGGGCATCTTGGGACCTGGGCCCCTCACCATGGGTCTGCGCTGACTAGAGGGACCACAGGATGCCCCAATAGAGATCTAGAGGCTCTCAGAGTGACCATGATACCTCAACACAGGTCTGATGGGTTCTGACTACCCCAACATCAGCTAGCCAAAGGGCTGGGTGGCACAAATTCCCCTGAGCCAGGTTCTATTGGATCCATAGACATGCCCCATGAGTCCTGGGCTGAGGACCACTCCAGGTTGCTGAGTCCACTGAATGGTCCATACACCAGGACAGCCAATGTGACTATAACATAGTATCTGCCCCGCCCCTTGTCTCTCTCATCCTCCTAGAACTAGGGGACAGTGCCATTCACTTTCCTGCCCTCTCTGATCCTTCCTGCATATTGGTGCCACTGTGCTTTCTCAACTAGAAGCTTGAATGCAGAGCCCAAATAAACTTTGACCTTTACCTCTCCCAACTTGGAGAGGAGCTGTCAGGCATTTCTAGAAGGAATAAGAGCCAGAACCCCCAATCTGGATCTTGGCTACACTCCAGCCAAGATCAAAAGATGTGGTACCTATACCCACTGCTCAAACCAGTAGCCCTTGCAGCCTTCACAGGCCCAATCCTACTGAGCCCAGGGTAAGGACCTAGGACCCATGAACAATGCATTTCTTGCTTGGAGAAATATTTAGGAGAATTTCTATCATCTGGCTTTGGAAATCACTTGCACAGTGAGAGCTCCACTTCGGATTTTTTGACATGCACCCGGAGCTCTAGGAAGGAGGCCAGTGACTGACTTCAGAACTCAGAGAATGTTTGTGATGTGTAAACCAAATGATCAGGGAAATGATCCTGTATCTCATTGTCTTATAATCAGGAATGTTTGACAGCAGATTTTCTTTGAAAGTATTCAAAGCCCCTTCCCGCCCCCCAAGAGCTCAAGGCCCAAGCACAGCCCCACCCGGCCCCACCTGACCAGCAAGGACTGCACTCAGCCCTGGGCGGTACCATGGTGATGCCGAGACTCCAGACGTCAGACTTGACATTGTAGCCCTTCTGGTTCAGCTCAGGGTTGATTCTTTCAGGCTGAAAGAGGATTAAGGGGGATGTGAACACCCGGTCAGGGTAAGGGAGACACCCAAGTCTCTCAGTCAAGTCTAACCTTTCTGACCCCAAAATGGAGGCCCTCCCCCAATCCACCTGTTCTCCTGACAGAGGCCAGCAAGGGTCAACGCCAATCCCTGCTTCCCAGCCAGACTCCCTGGGGAGGGCTCAAGGAACCCTAACTTCTTGATAATATAGGCCACAGAATTACGGACCACAGGGCATGGGGGATGCAGGTAATGGGGGGAAGGGGCATCTCCCTCACAGGAAAGTCTGGAAGCCTGCCCACTGCACAGAGGCAGTGGCCCCAGCCCAACAGCACCACTCACAGCCATGTAGGGCTTGCAGCCAGCATCCATCGTCTTCGCCACAGAGTCCACCAGGTAGCCACTGATGCCAAAATCACACATCTTCACATGGCCCTCCTTGTTGATGAGAACGTTGGACGGTTTCACATCTGTCAGGTGGAACATACCTTTCTCAGCCACACCTGGACAGCGCCCTCTAGAGGCAGGCCCCATCTTAGACGGCTACCCTTCCTGGCTCACCACTAAGGACCCACAGTAGGTTCCTGGGGCCCCAAGGACAAGATGAGGGGATGGAAGCCGTGAGAGGTCCTGTGCCAGACCCCAATTGTGCAGAGGGGTGGGCCAAGATGTGCCCTGACGTGGCTCTACCACAAAGGGAATCCATGGCCCACACACAGCTCATGAGCCAAAAGTCCGATGTCAGCAATAGGGTTGATTAAGGCACAGGCTGTGTGTGCACACACAGAACATTCCAGAGTTGCAATGTGATGACCAGCATGGCAGTGGCCCTCCCAGCCAATCTGTGTACACCCATGCATCTCACGTCTCCATGGGGATGCATGTAAGGACATACACAGAAAATGGCTGGAAGGTTCCAGGCAAGGTGACAAATGCAGCCATATTGTGCTTGACAGCACAACCCACCAGCAATAAAAGCCACCCTGTCACCATGCACAGAGCAGGTATTAGGAAGGAAGAGATTACAGAGTTCATTCAGGGTGGTCCTGTGGTGGGAACTTGCCCAGCAAGAGGCACACATTACAGCTGTGTGGTTCACAGTAAACTGTGTGTCATAACACCAAGGGGCTAGAAAAGTAGCTCAGTAGTAGAGTGCTGGCCTTGCACGCATAAGGCCCTGGGTTCGACTCCTCAGCACCACATAAGCAGAAAAAGCCAGAAGTGGTACTGTGGCTCAATGGTAGAGTGCTAGCCTTGAGCTGAAGAGCTGAGGGGCAGTGCCCACACCCAGAATTCAGGCCCCATGACCAATGAAAGGAAGGAAGGAAGGAAAGAAGGAAGGGAGGGAGGGAGGGAGGGAGGAAGGAAGGAAGGGAAAGAAAGAAAGAAAGAAAGAAAGAGAAAGAGAGAGAGAAAGAAAGAAAGAAAACCAAGTAAAACTCAGGTGCCAGTGGCTCACGCCTGTAATCCTAGCTATTCATGAGGCTGAGATATGAGGATTGAGGTTCAGGAGCAGCCTTAGGCAAAGTCCATGAGATTCCATCTCCAAAATAACCATTGAAAAGCCCAGGCTGGAGATGTGACTTGAGTGGCAGAGTGGCAGTTTAGTAAGCGCAAGGCCCTGTGTTCAAACTCTTTCGAACTCAAAAAACAAAAAGAAAGGGCAGCACATCAAGATACTAAGTGGGAAGATGGTGGCTCATGTCTATAATCCTAGCTATGCAGGAAGCTAAGATCTGAGGATGGTGGTTCAAAGCCAACCCTGGCAGGAAATTCTATGAGAATCATCTCCACTAAACTACCAAAAAAGCCAGAAGTGGAGCTGTGGCTCAATTGGCAGAGAGCTAGCTTTAAAAAGCTGAGGGACAGCACCCCAGGACTGACACCAAAAACAAAAAAAAAAAACCATCATTGTACTCATAAATTGACAATATTGAATTGAAACCTCTTTTTACACTAAAGATAGTAGTAGTAGTAGTAGTAGTAGTAGTAGTAACAAACAGGAAGCAGTCAGCCAAACCAAGATTATCCAGTCCTGACTCTGAGCACAATAGATCACAGGGTAGAAAGCAGCCTGGACCCCTCTGCCTCTCACAATCTCTCCCCTCCCTGGGTCTCAGTCTGCAGCCTCTGTGCTGGTGGGGCAGGAGGTGGAGATACTGACCTCTGTGGATCACAGACAGCTTGCTATGCAGGTGTTCCAGAGCCCGTACGATCTGGGTAAGGACAAGAGAGTCAGGACCACTGTTACTGCAGGTGGAATTGACAATGACAGGGTAAAAAACCCCACCCCCTCTACACACATTCCAGCCCTGGTCCCCACAGCTCCTGCCCAGGCCCCAGCATCCTGGAGTCTTAGTGCAGACTCTTCAGCCTCCTAAGCTTTCTCTTACCCTCAAAGTTGGATATGACCTGCCTGGAAACTCTGCAGAGGGGCTGGGAAGGTGGCTCAGTGGTAGAGCACTTGCCTTACATGCCTGAG